CAAAATTTTAATGTTATAGTAAATTTGCTACAGTTGTTGGCTACTACAAAGTTGTGCAAAATCATTCTACTTATTTCACATTCACCGATTATTTCAACTCTAACGAGGTGTTGAATACGTCCGAGACTGTTATTGGCTACACAGATGTAGACACGCGGCTCCGTAACGTCGGTGAGGAAAAGAATGGCCTTCCACTCGACGGCCTCTGTGAGAGGCTTCTCTTGGTCTGTTAGCCACTTTACTTGTGGTCTAGGATTCCCATTTGCAGTGCAGGATAAGTTTGCACCCTGTCCCGGTCGTACTTCCACTTTTTCTTGTTGTTCGATGATTGTCGGTGGATAGAACGTGTCTATGGATTCAATTTAATTTATCATTTAATGAATTCATTCATTTCACTAATGTAAACTGGGAAAAAACAAAGAACTAAACAATTTTTACGGATAGAATTAAGGAGAGTGGAAAATCATATTTTGCAGCTTCAGACTATGTGCCACATTGCTCTGACATATTAGCAATCACCACCATAACTGAGGTAACCTCTTTTATAAGAACATTAAGTTAGGTTTCTGAACGATGAAAAACTTACCAGATTTACGAGTTTGTTGTTCAAGGTAAATTCGTAATTATAACTCTTAGTCAGCTATGTTTGTGGCAAAAATGGACTTAAACCATAAAACACGAAAAAATGTTTTAGCCCTCCAAATCTTCTATTCGCTTTTATTAGCATATTTACTTTTTGTTTATTTTTCATTACTCCTTTAAGGTTTTAAGTGCGTCACTACTGTAGTGTTCAGGGTTAATATTCACTGGTCTACGATTATTTGAATTAGCTATCAGGAAAATTTTCAGACGTCTCTTCAAGCAGAAATAAGGGTAAATTTTACTTTGTATTAAGCAATAATATTGGGCTATCAGTTAAATTTGTTTACAAATGTTACATTTGAGCCATGTATGCTTTAAATGCACTTCATAGAATTTTGTGGAGTTGGCAAGTCTTTGGCAAATTAGCTTAATTCACCTTGATTGTTTCATTATTTGGCAAATCCATCTGCTACTTTAATTTTCTTGCTGAATCGGCAGTTGTGGTGGTTTATAAATTGTTTCTGTGCAGAAATGGGGAGTTTTATTTCAGCATCTCGTGCAATGAAGTAGTAAATGGGGCACGTTTTATAAGACCATTGGTTTTTTTTTAGAAAAGCAATAGTGATTGTACATATTTTAAGACATACACATGGATTTTTCACGAGCACTTTACCTTCCGCTTCGTTTATTCGAGGAATTATCTATGGGTCTAGTCAAACGTGGGTCGTATTTTGCAGAATTCTCATTTTCCTACAATTAGACCTTTTAGCACAAATGGTATTCACATCAAATTTGTGTCCTTAATTTTAATGACGTCGGATCTACTCTTAAGGTGTGTTTACTAAAATTTAATTAAAACCTAATAACGTTAAAAATGGGACAACCAGCTTTGGGTTGAATTTGTAAGTATGCGAACAATTTTCTATCCTACTCTAACTTACAAGTATTTCATGTCTGCAACATACATTTTAACAAAAAACTAGGAACGCGAGCTCATTTAAAATTTCAAATGGTGTGTATTATATAAGCTTACGTCATGAATAGTGCAATGGTTTGAATTTAGCAAGTCTAATTATGGTTGTCATTTTAATAACTTTAAAAAACTGCACTGGATTGATGGCGATATCTAGTTTCTTGGAATTCTATTTGTATTCTTATTTGCAAAGCTATCAACAGCTTATGCCGCATGTTCTTAGTCATTTTTAATTACAATTAAGCACAAAATGCTTGAAATTGCAAGTTTGTCCAAAGCTTTCTTGTTTCCTAAATGCATCCCATCCAAGAAATTACAAAAAACGGACGCCTCTGGCTTATTTAATTAATAATGCATTGGGGCTGCGATTTATGGCTCGATTATTACTTAGTGTAAATAAAAGATGATTATTCATGATAAATTTATACGATACGGCGAATCAAGAGAATATTTAATGCTGCTGCACAGCTATTTTCTAATTACTTTTCAAAACGCATCTTTTTGTAAAAACACTGCAAAATCTATAAGGTTTTTTTTCTGAATTAAAAGATTTTCCTTTGCTGGTCATAAATGCTTAAATGATGTAATTTGGAAAATTTAACTTATTTTACGCGAAAGCTAAGTGCCTAACGTAACCGCCTTAATTCAAATAAGGTTAGATGCATTAAAACAAAAACATGCTCACCTTTTACAACCAAGTGTATTTTCGAGCTCACAATTGATCCATATTTGTTGGAAACAACACATTCGTAATGCGCATCGTCGGAGGAATTAACGCTTTCGAAATAGAGTGGATAGTGTGCTGGGTGCAAAGTAGGAAGAGGAAGATGTTTGAACTTGATAAATGCATCAAATGGATTTTATATCATAAGCAAAACAAGTAGTTTAGATTTTAAAAGTGGTAGATAATAGTATAAACCTTGTAGGGTAATGCTTTATGCGTTTTATAGTCTGCACCAGAATATTGATACTTGGTTGGTACTGTGAAAAGGCTGCAATTAAACAGTATTTTTTATTCAAGTGCTCCTTTCTGTCTTTTATGCCTTTGACGAGTCTTTAAAACATAATCTGTTAAATAAATCTTTTGTGTCACTTTGAGTCGGTGACTGGTATAACGGCTACTTTGATAGGGCTGGGAATCCCACCTTGATAATAAGTAGAGTTAGCCTAGTTTTAATATCTATCACTAGATAAAAATCGAAGGTTAAGCATAATCCAAGCGAATTGTTTTTTAGCTTAAGGAGCCTGATGTCAGATTTAGGGGCCCCAAAGCTTTACACTTTATGTCTCTTAAAATACTCTAGTAATAGAGGTTTAAAGCACATAATTTGTGTTAACAATGGACAGCTAACAAAAATGCACATCTAGTGTTAATGCAGGCGGCGCCAGATTAATTTACAAAGTGCAGTACCACCCACAAAATTAAATTTTAATGGGATATTGTACATTTGCATGGTGCTCCGAATGGCATTGTTTTTGAAATGCAAAAAAAAAACAACCCTTTGCCCAGAAAGTGAAAGTAAGTCGACAATATCAAAGCTAAACTTGGTGCAATATTCTTTATGAAATTATTGACAACTGCAGATGTCTTTATTTTTAAAGGTTATTAATAAACACCATTTTCAGGAATACCGCCATTACTCCATAAGGTCAAAACTAGCCCGTTACTTTTAAAAAAGTAGTTGTGACAAGATTTGAACTAACTAATAGTAACTTATCGCCAACCTTTATCTTTAAATTATCTACATGTGTGCATTGAATGTTATTCAGCTACATTAACTGGATATAAAAGCAACTTAGTACTTTAATGCACTGAAGATGATCAATTTAAGCCCCAAAGATTTTTTGAAGTCTATATTAAAAGGTCAAATTAAGGCTTTTTTTCATTATTTTCCATTAGAATAAATTTACAATATTGAAATTTGGTTTGAATGTGTTTGGTTACCAGTTTGTGTTAAAGAAACCGTCTACACTATGTTCAAGTGCTTTGAACACACAAGTTTTTGCTTATTTAAGTAGTATTTGAATAGATTTAACAAAAAGTGGGGAACCAAAATGATTTATTCTATATTTATCTAACTCCAGGAAAGTGGTGATTTTAACAGCAAAACTTGATTGACGGTGTAACAGCAAAGGAGTGACTGTTAATGTGCATATCCTTCAAATACTTTTATCTTCGAGATTCCCAATTGTATTTGTCCTATTTTGGCATCGATTTTGCAGAATGCATAGTAATGTATTGCTACATTGGTGAAACGAATAAGCGTACTTTTCCTATTTTGTCCCACTCTTCTATTTAAAACAAAAAGCTGCTAAGAATTGAAAAGGAAGCACTAATTGTATTTTGATCATGCTTTTGCAAATTCAAACTTAAAATATCATATAACTTTATCGAAATGCATGCCTTTCTAAACTATATCAGGTGTTAATTCGTGAGTACATATCTGCTCATGTAAATCCACAGCCTTTTTATGTTAAGGACCGTTCCGTCAGGTCACTTTTTGATAACAAAATAAACCAATTACCTATACTTGATTCATCAACCGAACCATCGTGGTTGTTTTTGGTAGAATAGTCGAAAGACTGGACTTTTTGTTGGAAGTGGACCGGAATTTCATTCTTGAGCCAGAGAAATTTTAGTTCTGGTGCACCTTCTGCTTCACATTCCAAATGAACAGTCTTCCCTACGTCAACGGCCTGTGATTTGGGGGAGCGAACGAATTTAGGAAACCCTACGGGGACACCTAAATAATGACGGGATAAAAGAATGACTTGGTGATTAATGCTATTATGCAAAAAATTACTCGGTAAAATAGGTATAGCACTTTAAACAGGTACACTGTCAGGATTTGAAAGGAAGGTCGGCATAACTAATATAATAAAAAACCGAAATTAAAGGAAATGCTACTAAAAAAATGCAACTATTCTCAGCTTAGGTAAATTCTGAAATTGCCTTATTTTTAAAGAACTAGTTTAAGGTACGATGTCATGCAATCAGTTTTCATAAATTAAAAATTTGTGCATTTGCCAATCATATACATATTAAAAAACAAACCAATATGATGCATTATAACACAGAATGAATATTTAACAGCCAGAATTACCCAGTAGCGAGTTTTGACGTTTCACTTACTATCGGTGTACTTGTATACTTTTAGCTGAGCCGAGGATTTGTCACTTCCAACGTGATTGCTCGCATAGCACTCTACCTTGGTACCGTTTCGTTTGGAGGAGACTTTGAATAATCGCAAAAAGCTGCCTCCTTTACCCGGAATTGAAACAACTCTGCCTATCTCACCAGATAGTCGTCCAGGATGACCATCAAGGCGAAAGTTGATAGTCGGTTCAGGGTTACCTTCAACGCCGCAAAAGAAGAGTGCATCTTCACCCTCCAGTACCGCTGCATTTTCTGGAGCCTGGACTATTTGAGCTTTACCTAAATTTAAAAAGTTTCTAGTTAATTACCTTGTTAAATACGATTGCACCGTCTCTGCGTTTTGCTCATAGTAGCATCATGGAAAGCAGCTTTAAAAAAAGGTTAAGATCCGATGTTCGGGTATATTAAAGTCCAATTAACGTTGCCAGGAATTAACAGAAACAGATGCTTGCTAAAATGCAATCATTTCAAAATTAAACTCATTCAAATTTCAAAGAGTTTGGTTTCAAATTTGCGGGCTTTTGTGCCTCAGCTCTCCTTATATGAAGGGTAAAATTATGGACTAATTAAATCGTCGTGTGCAAGTTTTTGGCCAACATTTTTATATGTGGGGATTAATTAGCTTGGTGGCTTTTTGACCACTTGCCAGCGCATTCACATACTTGAAATTGCAAGACTTCAACTCTCAGCGCATACAGCTTGTAATTTTAATTTTTATAATATTTGACCTAACGATGGCCCACTTATCCTTTTCAATGATGTGTTTTGAGGTAATTCGCTTATTCATGCATAGTTCTCTTACTGCTTCTATCTACTATCCGTAAAGTCTTGAATAACTTTGGAGTTAATGAAACCAATATTTTTAAAAACATATAAAATAATTTGTGATAGTATTAGCAGGATTTTTTTCTAGCTCTCATGATTATCACATACATGACCGAAGCTTCGACATCTTTAATGCCTTTGTAAATAATGAATTTTGTCTCATTTAAAAGGTGGCTACTTCCAATTCCTATTTCATATTTGCAGGTGACAAACATAAACTACTTGATTACTTATTAATAAATTATTTATTGCACCCCCAGGACACAAAACACGAACTTGAAACACGTCCATAAGTCACATTCGCACGGGTCGTTCAGCGAAGTTTTGCTGATATTTCCCCATTGGCCTAATACCCAATAGAGCAGAAGTCTTTACCTTCTTCAAATTCACCTTGTTGAACGTACTCTCTTCAATTCTTTAATATTACGGTGTAACATTCTATAACTGTCGTTTTACTTCCTATCCTGATACTTAGACAAACTCCTCAAATTCCTTTACGCGTATTTTTTATCAAAGTCCACTAAGTAGTAATTTGCATTAATAACACAATAAAGAGTATGAAATGTCTTTCCTGCTATTGAAATAGTTTAAATAGCCATACTTCTCGAATTATTTGTAGTGGTGTTTTGATACCTCATTTTGCTACATTGCGTTGAAGAGATTCGTAAATAATAATTCGCTTTCACCACTCCCGTACAAAGGATCCATTCTCTTTTTAACTCTTTCTCCGTTTTTGTTAAGTATTCCAAGAAGTTGGAAGTATGAAGAAATAAGCTAGGCAGCACATTAGACTTACGCACTCTTCAAAAACGTAGATTGTGATTTAGTGACCCTTTTCTTTACGATTAGATCATTAATGATGGTTTTTGAATTATCAACGCGCCTGTTGTATGCTTTCAAAAATATGACCTGGTCAACTCTCACCACCCTTAAGTAAAATACTAAAAAGCGTAAGGTATTGCGAAAATTTATCACTTTTGTGCCTTGTTTGCCAAACTGTCTGCTTAACTAAGGAAATGTTTCTAAATTATGTAATGACGCAATTAGGGCATTTAAGGTCAAAAGTAAATGAAGCTGAAATTGATGAAAATTCAAAGTACCTACCCAGTGTCATCAATAAAGGTAGCCTTTGCAACAGCTTCCTTTCACAACGCACATTTTGAAAATATTTGCCTTAAATACATCTTTATTTTTGATTGCATGATTAAGTTGTTAGGTAAAAGTAGTTTTAGGAGAAAATTAGTATTTTTCACAAACGCCTATTAGATAACAAACGAGGTTATAACTGACTGATGAGCCAAGCAACCCTAAGCAACATTTCACAAATAGACACCTTCGCAACCGTAATAGAACAAAAGATTTGACAATTAGCAAGAAACTGTGCAGTCTTGATAAGCAAATTAGATTTATTTTGCTAAAATTAAAGAGACAATAACGTAAAAATAAGCCTTCTTTCCTGCCAGACCAATGGTGTTTAATGTTCAAAAACAGCCAGCAAAGCCAACCAAAGTTCACATGCAATACCAACAAAATATGCAGGAGATGAGGCTGAGAAACAAAGGCTTCAGCCTTGCTCTTGTGGTCTTAGAGTGTATAAATTAAACCAGTCAGGGGACTCTCTAGAAAAGAAAAAAGACCCTAAGGTCTGTAAAATTAGGGGTAATGAGTACTTGACACCTTAATGGAAGGGAGCATACACTTAAGTAACTACGCTAAAAATTAATGTCAGCTAGTTAGAAAACTTTAAATATTACAAAATTTGGGCGTGTGTTTTTACAGACTTGTAATAAATGAACGGACTTTTACAATTATTCAAAGAGACTGTTATCAAACGAATCACGAGCACTTAATTCATCATTTTCACATTATAGGACTTAAGTTACTTGCACAAATTATTTGTCAGAAAATAAAAAATCTTTTCGTGATGTAAGTGAATTTAAATGTATCACGGATTAAATGTGCAGTTTTTTAAAAAATGCTTTTAATAAGTAACTTTTCAGTTTTTAAACCCATTAAAGGTCCATGACTAAGCTTAGGTGGATATATTACCCACTAAAACTGAAAAAGTATAATTTGAGGCGAATTTTATTCAGTTTAAATACATAAACATACCTGATTTTGTGGTGAATGGACTTTGCAAGTCAACTTAGTATCAGCTAGTAATATAGCAAACCAACTTTAACAAATATTTAATAAAGCTCAATGCAGGTTGATGTTAAAGTCTAAAAAGAAAACTCTTAACCGTATAATATTGTGTAGTGCTTCACGGAATTCCAGTAGCAAAGAAAATTGACTGGCCGCTTTTATTTGCTCTAATTAAATGCAACTTTTACCTGCTTCGAGGTTTTATTTTAGTTATTTAATATTATTACCAAAAACTTAAAATTTGGCTAATTCTGTCTTTTGTTTTAATTTCCTATTCTGGTCTTTTACATGCAATTCACCTTCTATAATGCCTCACTTAGTCATAAATTACTCTATGCATGATAATTCCACCTCTGCTTTTATGACTTACTAGGCAAAATTTAAACATGTCTTTGGAAAATATTATTTTGATTAACTTTGATGGGTACTAACATTACGACAAACAATCATTTTTACTTTAATTTGCATTAGGTTACACTCGTATACTATGGTTGTCACACAACGGGAATCTCTTATTTGAATTTTTCAAAAATACCGAGCAATTCTTTAAATTGCGATTACTAATAAATATGGCTCCAAAATAAACTAAACTATTTTGAACTACTAAAATTGATGTGAATACCTTACTGTTAGGTTTCTAGGCATTTCTGAGAATTCAATCGCAGCACTTACTTGTATTATTGAGATAGGATTTGAGTACTTCCAAATTAAACCACTGGCAGCTGACACGATTGTAAAGAAATTTGACTTGAAAAATCAAGCCTATGATGAGAATAAGTGAGCTCATATTAGGTCCAAATTCATGACTATATGGAACTGTGAGCACTGTATTTGTAAGAGTCAAGTATTAAAAACAGCACGTTGCACAGACTTGTTTGCTCACAGCTTCCAATTACGCGGATGGACATTCCAACAGACCAATCAAATCAACCCACCAATCATAGTTGAATACATCCGTTACATACTGCTTAATTAGGAGCGCATTAAATAAATATCTGGAATAAATAGTTCGCTAAACCTGGAGGTAGGTTTTTTATTGATATTTAAAGTTCAGTTTTTCCCTTAAACTCACCTTTAAAAAGCGATACCACCTTTTTTTTGTTTACAGCAACATTCACTCATCTCAGGAAAACGTCCCAACCTTGAAGAAATTAAACTTACTGGCATGATAATAAAAGTAAACCGCTAAGCGCCCACAAAAATATTAATCATTTGATTTCGGTTTTATTTAGCCCTTTATTTATTAAGTCGCTTGCATGGACTAACTGTCCTTTACTTTATGTAGTTTTAACACAGTGTATTATGAGTTACCCGATAGCCTTATTGTGTGAATACTCAAAATAGCAATAGACTCTTCATGACGCCATAATTGTGACAATGTATTATATATAGACGTACCTACTTGCTATTAATATTGTGTGCTCCTAGACTTTCTGCAAGCAGCTTAGTAGAAGTGATAATCAGGAGCATGACTGGGATAGCAAATGCCATCCATTATTATGCGTTTAGGAAGTATTACTGTAACAACAACTCTACTAACTTGAACTGAGTAGAGCCTTTAATAATTTTAGGGGTCGAGCAAATCAAGTTTGGAGAAGCTCAGTGAACACATTACATATGAGAAAAGTACGAGAAATTACAGTTTACCCTGAGTGTGAAGATGCAAAACACGTGAATACTACAAAAAGTTACAGAAATTATGCCCTTAATTTACGCAGGCACGAGCACCATGCACACTATGTTGTACAAAACGCTTGGTACAATATTTAAAATATAAAGGCCTATGGCTTATTACAAAGGTCAGCCTAAACTATGCTAACATTTAGAGCTGCTAGAACTAACGCATTCCTAAGTCTAGCACTTTGTTCTCTCTGCTTTTATGTATTTTTGGTAAGAAAAATTGCCTCCCAGAATAGATAATGATCTACCAAAAAGGTTGTACATGCCACAATCATCGTTGCCCAGAGTAATTAAAACGACTATGAAATTTTTTAAAGTATCAGCATATGTATTCACGACATTTTTATTTTCTAAGAAAGGACATATCATAATTTGCATGATATTTAGCCTGATGTACCGGTGGTATTGGTGACCATTTTTACATTACATCAGATTTTACTTTAAAATAACTATTTAAAACTTGCTTGATTAATCGCACTAAAGGTTTTTGTTGGGCAGAAAATTAAAAGCAGAGGATTTTTTAGATCACTCAAGCATTGAAAAGTGCCTTAAACATACACACGAACGCATACTCTCCGTACATAATTTATCGTTAAAAAACGTCATACTTTCATTTTGGTGATAATTCTTTAAACGCAACAGACACTTCTTTTTAATCACATCTATTTTTGCAATGACTTGTAGCCAATGCCTTAAAG